CTGAGCCATAGTGTTCAAGACCAGTTGGCACTTCCTGGGTGGCCATCTCTTCCCAGAGTGGGTAGCAAGCTCTTTGCTGATGATAGCTGGGCGGGAAACCACAGGCCATTCGTGGATCTTCGTAAGAGCTGGTGGGTCCCTGCCTCTGTGACCAGGAACAAAAATGAAATGGATTCAGAAGAAAGCTCTTTAGTTTACCCCTATGGGTCAGTGACTTTATCATTCATCCACACACTCAGAAGTAGGAATCACCCATGGATGACAGAACAGATGATCCCCTACCCCCAACCCCAACAGCCACAGGACATGAGGTCTTCTAGTTGGCTCTCTGATGATTGAATTCACCCCTTTATCTAGTCATTCGAACACAACTTTTCCTAATTTTAAAATAAGTACCCATGATTAGCAGCAAAACATAATTTTGGCCACTTGCAATTTATCTGCTCCCACCTTTTTTTTATTATTATGTCACTCTTTTTTTGTTTGTTTGTTTTATTAGTGAAACACCATGAGGTACAGTTGTAGACTTACAAGTTGTTGTGCTTGGGTTTCAGTTATACAATGATCGAGGACCCGTCCCACCACCAGTACCCATTCTCTACCCCTACCACCAATCCCAGTATCCCTCCCAACCCCCATCCCCCATCCCACCCTGCCTCTGTAGCAGGGAACTCCCTTTTGTTCTATCTCTCCTTTTGGGTGCTGATGTCACTCTTTTTTTTTTAAAAAGAAAGAATGATTATATGACTGAGACCCAATCATGAACAACTTTGTAACTATGTATTTCACTGTGATTCCATTAAAAAGTTTCATTTAACACCATGAAGGAATCTTCTTTACGACCTCTTTGAATGTAATTTGAGTTTTAGTTTATTTTGTGTATACTTTTGCAGTCCTGGGAGGTCAAACTCAAGGCTTAAGTTATGCCCTTAATTCTACAAGTTGTATTTTAATACAACAGCACTGATAGGTGACACTGACAGAGCCAAAACAACAACAAAGAAGCACCTATATAACTGAAATCAGTTTTCAGTTAAGCAATAGGCACTGGTATCTTTACAGTATGAGTAAATATGTAAATTTATATCAACGGGGCTGAATCCTGTCACTGCCCCTTGCTGCCATCTGTTTCTGGAGTCTCCTCTGGCCAGCATGCACATCTCGCTCACAGTGTGTTCACTCTTAGCATCAATCCCCCTCAAATCAACTCATACCCAAATTAGTTAGAATTCGATGTATTTGAATTGATTGACATTCGTTAGCAAATGTCACTCCTTGGGGGTATCCTCCTCCCTGCAAAGTATGGTGTGAGTTCCCCGAACCCCCCTAATAGTTTATAGTCACTGGTTTGGTTTGCCTTGTTTGTTTTGGGGAAGGTCACACCTAGTGGCTCCTGATCTACCACTCCTGGCTCCAAACTCAGGGGTTCACTCCGGGCAGGACTGGGGGGCCATGCAGAGCTGGGGATGGGACTGAGGTCTCCTGAATGCAATGCCTTTGTATTCATCCTTTGAGTTATTTCTCTGTCCACCCCTCATCCCCCCACACCACTACCCCAGGCATCAACTGCTAAGTGGAATTTTCTCCTCTTAATATTTGTGAAAAATCGTCCTCGTTCTTCTCAGGTTTATGCAATCCACAAAGGCACTTCATGCCCAATTCCCTCTAAGGGAAGACAAATGTAGTATTGGGGGGGCCTGGTTGCATGTTCAGACCTCACTCTTACAAGGACATGTGGTTTCAAATCCTGACTCCACCTCTCTTAATACTTGTCCATCGAAATTACGGTTTACTCAGTTGCAAAATGTGAATAACAATCCCAGCCTGTGAACATAGGAACAGCAAGCGAATCTCTATGCTTAGGAAAACTGGAAAGCGAAGAAAGATCTATGTGGTGAGGTGTGAATGAAATGAAGTGCCTACTATATCATGTCTGGGAAGCCTCAAGCATGCTGGGTATTTTATTTTAATATAAGTATCGTAACAGTCCTGGGATTGGGCCGGAGAGTGAAACATGCAGCTTCAATATGAGAAGCACCAATCCACAGAAAGACTTTCCTGAGAATAAGAGGTAAATCCACCTGGTATGGTCTCTACTTCCTATTTCCCTTCCTTCCGCTTCTCTTCCCTGTAACCACAAAAAAGTCTATTAAGAGACTGAAATTAGCTAGCATTCGATGTGTTTAAATTGATCAATATTAATCAGCAAATGTTACTCCTTGGTGGTATAGAGTAGGGTGCAAGTCCCCAAAGTCCCCCAATAGAAAGACCTCCTCATCCCATTGAGTTCCTCAAATTTCTAAGTAAGAAGTCAGCGTGCTTAGAGTCCACCATTGGCATCTCTGCCCCACCTGGCAATTATTCATAAACTCAAAAATTCATACTCAGAAGAGAGCATCTTGGCACCAAGGAAAAAAATCACCACTCCAGACCCCCCAAAGTAGAAGATTCTTCAGAGATTCATTTGCACCTAGTTTTCCACTGCAGTTATAAGATCATTCCCAGGAGCCTTGGGGCAGCACCTGGAAGGTGGTACCCTGTCAGCAAAAGATCATCACCTGCAGGACCAAGCTTGGAATTGCTGGGCACTCCAGGTTCCAGCAGGTTGCTTCAGACCAGGCTGTCCTCTACCACTCTGAACTCTGAACTCTACCCCAACCCCAAACTTGGCTTCTTGGTGACAGGCAGAGGGGGCTCTTGACCATCTGAGAAGCGGGACTGTATTTCTGAGCCACTTCCTCCATAGGGGGCCTCCGTGGTTTTAGAAGACCTCTTGAGTTCAAATGAGGAGATCAGACAGCGGCCCCAGAAGGAGCTCCCAGCCTCTCCTGCGGAAATTCCTAAAAGCTTTTCCCTTCGGTCACCAAGTCACCACTCCATGACTTTCCAGAGCATGGAAAGGACATTTTTACTCAAGGAACTGCAGTTCCCCTTCCAACTCTTTCTGAAACTGCCTCAATGGAGGAAGAAGCAGCAGGTTATGAGCAGGTCAAAAATTGGGGCAACCCGGCCTCACCCCACTACTTTGCAAGGGCAATGCCCGAAACAACTTCCAGTATCCAGAGTAAACTCCTTCTTGGAGATGGGGGTGAGTGGTGAGGGGGTTTCACACTACCAGGCCTTGCCAGGGTTTGGGAGAAACCTGTGGACGAGTCCCCATTGGCTACCCCACCTCTGTGATTTTGGAAAGAACTTCAAGGAACTCACCCCTTCCATGCCAGCTGGCACGCTCAGCAGGGTACACAGGGGATCACATATTAGCCTCATCCCAGCCTGGTTGGCATCCTTTACACCTCCATTTCCACACAACCAGCTGAAAGTCTAAGAGGACCAGGGAGCTTCTGCAGCCTATAAACCATCAGGGAGAGGGTATCCCAGGGCTATTGCATTTCAGACTCTTTTCTCCACCCTGTGCCATGTGACAACTTTGTGGCTGGGGGACAAAGTCCCAAGAGTAGGTGCAGGATGGATTCTCACCCGCATGTCCACTGCACAAATCTAGGCCATGCACCCAGCCTAAGCCAACTGTGCTGGATGCTTGGGACACAAGGGGAGCAGGATGCGAACACTACCCACAGGGGCCTATAGACAAGGACACAGATGATGGGGGTGGAGAGGGAGGCGGGAAGGGGGTGACAGGATTCAGCACCATTGTGCAGGGGGAGGGAAGGACTTCCTGAGGATGCTGATTAAGTAAGGTTGAGCACTAGCCTAGAACTTTTGTTGAAGGACTCATACATGGAAAGGTGGAGAGATTCACATCAACCATATCAAGAGGAATGAGCAAGGCCAGTGGAGCTGGAGAGAGATGAAGACTGTTGTTCAGCAGGACAACGACGGGAAGCTTGTGACTGGCCACTAAGGATGCTTGTCAGGGAGGACAATTAGTAAGAATAAAAGTTCAAGGGATATTCATTTCATAGTCCTTACACTTTTTTATCTTTTATTTTTTAACTTTTAGGTCACACTCTGTGATGCTCGAGGCTTACTCTTGGCTCTGCACTCAATTCTCACTTGGAATTACTCCTGGGAGTGCTCAGGGAACCATATGGATGCCAGGGATCCAATGCGGGTCACTGCATGCAAGGCAAATGCCCTACCTGCTGTACTAGCTCTCTGCCCAATGCCACCCCCCCCCACCGCCCCCAGTCATAATCTTGAATTTGCTTCAGTGGTAGTGACATAACGCACCAATATGTTCTGGAAAGATCTGCTTGATAGCACTGTTGACATGGATGGAGCAGAATAGAAGAGAAGATACAGGCACTCACCAGAGGCACAATGGCCTGCACGGAGGAGCAGTCAGTGTTACTCATCTCTGTTTAAGTTCTGTTTACCATGATCTGGGAAATCAGCTTAATTGCTGATTTCAATGTTTCAATCAGATGTCATTTGGCCTGATGACTGAAGCAGGTTGTACCCCTTAAGTTATTTTGTTCAGCTGGTTAGTTTCTGGTTTGGGGGGGCCATACCCAACTGTCCTCAGAATTTACTCACTGGCTCTGTGCTCAGTGATCACTCCCGACAGTGGGCCATATGGGGGTCAGAGATTCAACCTGAGCCAGCTGGGTGTGAGACAAGAGCCTGACTTGTGCTCCCTCTCTGGCCCCAGTGGTACTCCAGAAGTTTCATACCCTAGTGAGGGTTTTACTCGTCTCCCCAGACTGCCAGTGCTCTAGGATAGAGGATAGGAATAGGGCTGTGGGTGCAGAGGTGAAGAAGCAAGAAACATAAATTCAAGGAGGAATCAAGCTGGATTTATGACAGAGGATGAAGGAAAAGGGGATCTATGCCTTTAAGTGTGAGCTCTGATGATGGTGGGAATGCTGCCTGTAAGTCTTAATTAACAAGGTGGAAGAGAACTTGACTTGGCGGCATTCTCGATAGTAGAGCTGGTAGAAGACAGCAGTAAAGTTAGATTTTGACTTTACAAGACCTGGAGAGGAGTATGGATCCAGGGCCAGTGACATAAAAAGAAAGGAGAGGGGCTGGAGAGACAGTTCAGGGGGTAAAACACTTGTCTTGCTTACAATTCACCTCAGTGACATCCTTCGCACTGAGCACCACCAGCAGAGAGCTGAGAGTCAGCCCCAAGCACCAGTGGGTATGGTCCTCCAACCAAAATAACTCAAATAAAATGATTGA